AATATTAATAAAGTCACCACCCAAAATCGAATCTTTGCTTACTCCATACAAACTGATGGTCTTGCAGTATCAGTTGGGCTGCAGAAGAAAGTTGATGATGATAAAGAGGCTGTTGATGAAGAAAGATTAAATATTGATTTAAATGGATGCAAAGTATTTGGAATGGATCCTGGAAGAAAAGATCTGTTTATGGCAGTGAGTTCAGATGAAAAAGTCGTGAGCTGTTCCAACAAGGAGTACTGGAACTTAGCAGGGTTTGTGCTCATAAAAAACATGAGTTGTGGTTGGAAAAAAATAAATATCTTCAGGCTGTTATTCAAGGTGAGCTATACTTTGTTAATTTAATTTGCTGTTAAACAAGAATATCATTGAATAATATTACTTACATACCTTTTGCCTAATACTAATATAAAATCTAGATATTCCAACCTCTGGTGTCACCAATGTCTATGAATATGGCTCTTACCTTGCTTACATTCTGTTTTATCTTGATATAATTCTTGATTTTTATTGTGAACGTCGCTGGCATTGGTTGCAATGGAAATCTTTTATTAATAAACAGAAGGCCTTTGATATTCTGTGCAAGAGAATAACAAATAGCAATGGTGACAGTACAGTTGTTGCATTTGGTGATGGCATTTGGTGATGGTAAATTCTCATCAACATCACGTGGGCATGCACCAGGCACTGTAAAAGAATTTCGCCAGGAGCTTTCTAGACACTGCAGGGTGGTGAACATTGATGAGTTCCATATTTCCTCAGTCTGTTCTTTGTGTGATGGGTGGTTTGATAAGCATCAAAAATTCTGGTCTGTCAGAGTCTGCAAATCAGTCTGTCTGATACATTGGAATTGAGATGTTAATGCTGCCTGTAACATAAGGAACATTTTTTTGCACACAAACACTTATGGAGAGAGACCTGATCCATTTATAAGGGGGACTTACTGACCTCTCTGCTGCCATTTTAACTGTGGCAGGATATGTCTAGCTGGTGGCAGCAGCAGCAATGATGACTTTCTATGAAGCCACAATTAGCTATAGGGAGGATTTGGATCATCCTGATTTAGTGTAATAAGGTTTACTTGTTAATCTAGAGATAAATAATAATGGTAAAATATACTAGGTTTTTTATAACAATTTACTTCTAAAATTAGTACGATTCGCTAATCGCGTGACATTAATTTGTATTTGTATTTAAAAAAAATTTTTTTAAAAATAGTATATATAATAAATCAAAAAAAATGCAAAAAAAAAGAACCCTTTCAAATGCTCATAATGATAATGATAATAATGATAATGATAATGACAGTAATAATAAACAGTCCACCTCTAAAAAATCCAAAATGGAAGAAAATACTCAAATAGAACCCGTAGTTACTGACTTATTTCAAGAAGAATCCACAAGAGAAGTTACAATTTCTACCGGTGGGCTATTAGCAGAAAATCTAGTGCCTGAAGGTGGTAAAGTAGTTTTAGGACATAAGGTTATTATTGTTATCTTCCTATGTTTATTCGACTGTTTCAAGTGAATTTTTGAATTTTTAAATTTGATCTAACACAAACTTGAAATTGAAAAGGTAAGGCATCAAGTAGCAGTACCTCTAAATTATGCATACACACCTATCTCTCAACACGTAAGACCAAGCACACCAGCTCGAACATACCCATTCAAACTCGATCCATTTCAAGAGTATGCAATTTCTTGTATAGAGCGCTCAGAATCCGTTCTAGTGAGTGCCCATACTTCTGCGGGTAAAACAGTAGTAGCAGAGTATGCCATTGCTCAAAGTTTAAATAATAAACAAAGAGTAATATACACTAGTCCAATCAAAGTAAGCTATGAAGAATGAAATAGGCGTTGTATTATATAATTTATTAATTATTTTAATATATAAATATTGCAGGCATTAAGTAATCAGAAATATAGAGAATTACAACATGAGTTTAAAGATGTTGGTTTGATGACCGGAGATGTTACTATCAATCAAAGTTCTAGTTGTCTAGTTATGACAACTGAAGTATGTTAATTGTTTGTTTTGTTTCAGACCAATTAATTAGTCAGTTACTTGACCATTTAGATCAATTAACTTAATTAACATATTCTATTTGTTGTAAACTTGTTAGATTTTACGTAGTATGTTATATCGAGGAAGTGAGATATTACGTGAAGTAGCTTGGGTTATATTTGATGAAATACATTACATGCGAGATAAAGGTAAATAAAAACCAACTATAAAAAAAAATTCATTGATTGAGAATAAACAAATAATAAAATAGATAGTGATGATGATAATAATAATAATAATAACTTCTTTATAATTAAAGCTCGTGGTGTTGTGTGGGAAGAAACTATTATAATGTTACCACATACTATTCACACTGTGTTTTTGTCTGCCACAATTCCAAATGCAATGGATTTTGCTGAATGGATTTGTAAAATACATCGACAGGTTATTATTATTGTTGTTACGATTATAATAATAAAAAAGAAAGTTTTTAAATCCTTTCTTCTAAAAAAAATATTTAACTCACATTATATTTATATTTATACTATTCTGATGAACTTAGCCATGTCATGTTGTTTATACAGATTTTCGTCCTACACCTTTACAACATTATATTTATATTAATGGTTCAGATGGGATTTACTTGTTAGTTGATGAAAAAGGTACATTTCACGAAGATGCTTTCCAGAAATCAATATCAACAATCAGAGAACCTCTCAATCCAAAACCAAAAAATTTTAATAATAATAACAACAAACTTAAAAGAAGTAGGCATCTAATATATAATATATAATATCTAATATAGCAACATAATTATTAATTATTATAATTATAACTATATAATTATTAATTTAGGTAGTGATACACTTAGTACTTATTCAATAATAAAAGCTTGCATAAGTTCTAATCTTAATCCAATTATTGCATTTGCTTTTTCAAAAAAGCAATGTGAATTTTTGGCAATGCAAATGAGTCAAATGGATTTTAATAATGGCAAGTAAATATTAAATAAATAAATATATATATATTTCTTAACAATGACACTATTAATCAATCAATCAATTAATTATCACACTAGATGATGAAAAAGAATTAATAAATAAAGTTGTAGAAAATGCCATTGATTTGTTAGCTGAGGAGGATCGTCAATTGAAATCGATACATAATCTATTACCATTGTTAAAACGTGGTATTGGTATTCATCATTCAGGATTATTACCTTTCTTGAAGGAAGTGGTTGAACTTTTATTTCAAGAGGGCTTGATAAAGGTCCTATTTGCCACAGAAACGTTTTCAATGGGCTTAAATATGCCTGCAAAGACTGTTGTTTTTTGTGAATTAACAAAGTATGACGGAATACAAGCTAGATATGTATGTTGTTTTATTTTGTTAGGTTTTATTTTCACTTAAGAATAAACATTAATCTTTATGTTTTATCAACTTATCACAAAACATTAAGAAACTAATAAATTTACTGTCATCAGGTATATTGATATTTTAGATCACTGTTGGAATTTGGTCAATGAAAATAGATATGATAATTGAAATTTTTTTAGTTGTTTTGACTGCTTGGCCATGACTCAATGCAAAATATACACAACTAAATCATATAATATCAATAATAACAATTTAATCAAATAATTAAACATAATACCTCAAATTACTCCTAAGAGTAAGTATAACAGATATAAACAAACCAATAAAAAAAGTATATTTTTAATTGGAGAGATGAAACGCCAGCTTACCAACAAACAGTGACTATGATAAATTGATTAGATCCTTCCTTGAATGATAAATAGTATTGTTCATTCCGGGCATTTTTGATTGTCAATATTGCTTCAAGAGTCACAGTAATGACTGAAAGATATAATCAAAATTTTGAGTTTCGTTACTTTATGGGGTGTTTCTTAATAAGTGGTATGTGGAAAGTGCGTACTGTACTTTTTAGTACGGTACTCACCTTATATATACCTAATACTGTGTTGGAATATGAATTGCTATGTGTGAACTTGCAATTTTTTTTTTAGCATGCTCCTTTGCCTTCATTACGGTACACATTTTCTATATATTCTTCAATAAGATTTAGATAGTTTTGCAAAAAAACTAGTGTCAAAAAAATTTTTAAATCAAATTCATAGAGAAATTGTGTTTCATTATTTTATATTAAAAAGTTTATTATTAATGTTATATCTTTAGAAAAGAATATACGCAAACATAATAATATGTAATGATTAAAAGGCATTTATCTTAATCAACAATTAATTTAAAGGATATTTATTCGTATTTATTCTAATAAAAAAAAAATACAGAAATTTTCAACAAAGCAAAATCAAAAAATTCTTAAATACATTACAGAAAAATACACTTATAAATATATGCCTCTAACAATTTAAGATCCACAATAGAAATGGACGTTGCCCCGTAGTTTTGAAGTCTATGGTTGAAGTCAATTGCTTGCAAAGTGTTGATAAAAAACCGGTCAATTCATTCAATAGCGAAATTCTATCGTGGATCATGAATTAAGGGTATCAATGGAATCAGCAAAACTTGAAGTTGAAAATGGCGGTGCTTTTATCTCTAGATTGCAAGTATTAAATTTTACGATTAATTAAAAATTAAAAATGTATATTAGAAGCTGTAACATAATATAATGAAAATAAAATATACTATTTTAACATTGTTCTTAAAGATTAATTGATAAATTATCTGTCATCAGCTTCAAGGTTAATTTTAAAAAAACTACAGCTAACTTTGATATTCAAATAGTAAATATACGTGAAAAAACAGTTTTGAGTTAATGCTGCTCCTATATTAATATACAGTGTGTTAAGAATCGTAATTAAATAAATCTAGATGTTATTCACATATTTTTTTTAAAACTTTGCAAAATTTTTGTCTCTGAAATTTTACCACGGAAATTTTTAATAATAAAAAAACATACAAAAAATTATACCAGTTTGTAGTGAAAGTTCTGGAGATTATATATATAAGCCTTCATACTTCCAGATTTTCTAGAATTTTGTCAATTAGAAATAAAAGGGATTTGATTATTTTGAAAAAAAAAACAATTCAATGTGTAAATTTCTTTAATAATTGCTCTAAAGCCTACATAATAACATGCTTCAAAAATTTCATGTTATAATCTAAGATCTTCCGATTCTCTGATATAATTTTCATCATATAATTTTGGCTACTTTTTTATTAAAAACAATATTTTTACTAACTGCCGTTTTTTCTTAACACTCTGTATTTAATTCTTTATGTCAAATATTTTTGGCTTAGAAATCGTGCCCACATTGTATAGTAATATCTTGAGATGTTGTTCTTTAAAGCTTCAAGAGCAATAGTAAACTCCTTGAAATGTGGATCATTTCACAGATACGCACACAAATGATTGTAATATCAAAGTTTCCTCAAAATAAACATCTTTTTCAACGAACAATTCACCAGGAGTTTTGTGCTTTTTCCAGAACTTTGCTCTTACCAATGGCATGGCATTATCCGCATCTAGTGTTTAAACAATGATGCATCTCGGTAGACACATGTTCAAAGCTATTTATGTTGGTAATGTATAGTTGTTTCGATTTGTTTTAGTTCATTGAATATTAATATGTCAAGAAATTTCCGTGAAATATCCGCCACCAAATTGTTCTAAACACAAATAAAATGCAAAGCCATCATAATTTACAACCTCCAAAGAAAAGAAACTTTTCAGATAATCAGAATGATGATGGTAATAGCAATAACAGTAATAAAGAACACATTAGTAAAAAAGCAACGAAAAAAATTTTTAGTCAAGAAGCTACTCTTCAAATTGAGCATATAGTAACTGACACATTTCAAGAAGAATCAACAAGAGAAGTTGCACCCTCTACTAGTGATTTATTAAAAGAACAGAAAATGCCTTTGGTTTTAAGACACGAGGTTACTTACTATAATATTATTATTATTTACAACAATTAAAACTGAACTAATCCAGACTCGAAATTGAAAAGGTAAGACACCAAGTAGCAATACCTCTAAATTACGCATACATACCCATTTCTCAACACACAAGGTTAAATGAACCTGTTTTAGTGAGTGCTCATACTTCTGCTGGTAAAACAGTTGTAGCGGAATATGCCATTGCTCAAAGTTTAAAGAGTAAACGAAAAGTCATATACACTACTCCAATCAAAGTAAATTTCGAAAAAATATATGACTTGCAATATTGATTAATTGATTGACTAATTAATTACTGAGCATAATAAATATACGTACATATTGTAGACATTAAGTAATCAGAAATATAGAGAATTACAACATGAATTTAAAGATGTTGGTTTGATGACTGGCGATGTTACTCTTAATCGAAACTCTAGTTGTAAAGTAATGACAACTGAAGTATGTTTTTCTTGGACTAGAATAATCAATTAGTTACTTGATCAATTAGTCAATAACTTAATATTATAAATCATTAGATATTACGCGGTATGTTGTATCGAGGAAGTGAAATGCTAGATGAAGTAGCTTGGGTTATATTTGATGAAATACATTACATGCGAGATAAAGGTAAATAAAAACCAACTATAAAAAAAAATTCATTGATTGAGAATAAACAAATAATAAAATAGATAGTGATGATGATAATAATAATAATAATAACTTCTTTATAATTAAAGCTCGTGGTGTTGTGTGGGAAGAAACTATTATAATGTTACCACATACTATTCACACTGTGTTTTTGTCTGCCACAATTCCAAATGCAATGGATTTTGCTGAATGGATTTGTAAAATACATCGACAGGTTATTATTATTGTTGTTACGATTATAATAATAAAAAAGAAAGTTTTTAAATCCTTTCTTCTAAAAAAAATATTTAACTCACATTATATTTATATTTATACTATTCTGATGAACTTAGCCATTGGGTTATATTTGATGAAATACATTACATGCGAGATAAAGGTAAATAAAAACCAACTATAAAAAAAAATTCATTGATTGAGAATAAACAAATAATAAAATAGATAGTGATGATGATAATAATAATAATAATAACTTCTTTATAATTAAAGCTCGTGGTGTTGTGTGGGAAGAAACTATTATAATGTTACCACATACTATTCACACTGTGTTTTTGTCTGCCACAATTCCAAATGCAATGGATTTTGCTGAATGGATTTGTAAAATACATCGACAGGTTATTATTATTGTTGTTACGATTATAATAATAAAAAAGAAAGTTTTTAAATCCTTTCTTCTAAAAAAAATATTTAACTCACATTATATTTATATTTATACTATTCTGATGAACTTAGCCATGTCATGTTGTTTATACAGATTTTCGTCCTACACCTTTACAACATTATATTTATATTAATGGTTCAGATGGGATTTACTTGTTAGTTGATGAAAAAGGTACATTTCACGAAGATGCTTTCCAGAAATCAATATCAACAATCAGAGAACCTCTCAATCCAAAACCAAAAAATTTTAATAATAATAACAACAAACTTAAAAGAAGTAGGCATCTAATATATAATATATAATATCTAATATAGCAACATAATTATTAATTATTATAATTATAACTATATAATTATTAATTTAGGTAGTGATACACTTAGTACTTATTCAATAATAAAAGCTTGCATAAGTTCTAATCTTAATCCAATTATTGCATTTGCTTTTTCAAAAAAGCAATGTGAATTTTTGGCAATGCAAATGAGTCAAATGGATTTTAATAATGGCAAGTAAATATTAAATAAATAAATATATATATATTTCTTAACAATGACACTATTAATCAATCAATCAATTAATTATCACACTAGATGATGAAAAAGAATTAATAAATAAAGTTGTAGAAAATGCCATTGATTTGTTAGCTGAGGAGGATCGTCAATTGAAATCGATACATAATCTATTACCATTGTTAAAACGTGGTATTGGTATTCATCATTCAGGATTATTACCTTTCTTGAAGGAAGTGGTTGAACTTTTATTTCAAGAGGGCTTGATAAAGGTCCTATTTGCCACAGAAACGTTTTCAATGGGCTTAAATATGCCTGCAAAGACTGTTGTTTTTTGTGAATTAACAAAGTATGACGGAATACAAGCTAGATATGTATGTTGTTTTATTTTGTTAGGTTTTATTTTCACTTAAGAATAAACATTAATCTTTATGTACGCTTTTAACAGATAACGTCTGGAGAATATATTCAAATGTCTGGTCGTGCTGGTAGAAGAGGCCTTGATGACCGTGGTAATGTAATTATGAATATCGATACTGAAAGTCATTTCAAAGTTATCAAGGACATGGTTAAGGTTAGTATTCTAAATATGTAACTTTTTTCGGAAATAAAATATTTACTAATTTATTTATGTTAATTAGGGAGAACCTGACACTTTATTGTCAGCATTTCATCTAAAATATCATATGATATTAATGATGTCAAGAATTGAAGGTATAAGTCCTGAATACATGTTACAAAATAGCTTTTATCAATTTCAAAATACTTTGCCAATTCCTCGACTACAAGCAGGTATCTATTTAACCTAGCCATTCTAAATTGGAACAGTTTAATAATTTAATAATAATAATAATAATAATAATAATAATAATATAATTAATGTTGCAATTTGCCAACTGGTTTGATTTGAACAGAATTGAAAAAAGTGATGGAAGAAATAGATAATTTAGAGATAGAAAATGAGGAATCAGTGGCGCAATACAATTCACTTGTTAAACTTAAAGAAGAAATGACTGACGAATTTAATGAATACACCTTGGATCCAAGACACTGTCTAAAATTTCTAAATTTTGGTAGATTGATATTGGTGAAATATGATAATGTGAATTTTGGTTGGGGTATGGTTGTTAGAATAGAAGAAATAAAAGTATGTATTTATTCAATTCAATAGCTCAATTAATATCAAAAGAAAATATTGTATATATTTTTTTGTTCTTTTATTTTTGATGATAAGAATAATAACAATATTGACAAATAGCAAAAAAAGAATGAGAAAAATCCACTGGGCGTAAAACAAAGAGCACAACTTAATTCACAAAGTTCTAGAGAAATAATTTATAAAGTGAGAGTTTTGTTACGGTGTTCTAGTGATTCATTTGCTAGTTATGATGGTAAAAAAGTTAATATCAAGCCATGTCCAAAAAATACAAAAAATGGTATTATGTTGGTAATATAAAGTTTCATATTAATTAATTTCATCAATATTTTAATTTTACAATGTTTTTATCACTAAGAAAAATATATTATTAATAGGTTGTTCCGTTAGAACTTAACAACATACAAAAAATTAGTCAGATACGTCTTCATCCTGATAAAAATATTGAACATGAACCTTCTATTATGAATGTGGCTTATGATAGTATTAAAACCATTCTTGCAGAACATCCAAATGGTGTACCATTGGATCCAATAAAACATATGGAAATCAAAAGCGAAAGATTTTCATTATTATATAATGTATATAATATATATGTGTGTGTGTTGTTTCATTGAATTTATTATTAATTCTAATAAAAGAAAAATCAACATTTTTTTTTTTTTTTTAGAAAATGAGACTAATTGAAGAGAATATTAAGAGACATCCAGTTGATCAAGACCCATCAATAATAGAAAAATATGACAAAAAATTAAAATTAATAGAAGAGAGTAAATCATTAAAAAACAAAATTCGTGAAGCAGAATCGATTCTCCAACTTGATGAGCTTAAAAAAAGAAAACGTTTATTACGTAGAATGGGTTACTTATCGGAGAGTGACGTGGTTGAGTTCAAAGGTAGAATAGCATCTGAGATCACATCGGGGGATGAAATAGTTTTAACAGAGCTGTTGTTGAATGGTGTTTTCAATGATTTGTCGGCTGAATCAGCGGCTGCACTACTTAGTTGTTTTGTGATTGATGAGAAAGTGGATGAAATGGACGTTAAACTTCGAGAAGAATTCAATACGCCATATAGACAAGTTTTAGAAACAGCTAGAATTGTGGCCGAGATTACTGCAGAATGCAATATTGCTATTGATAAAGAAGAATACTTGGGAAGTTTTTCACCTGTATTGATGGAAAGTGTATTTGCTTGGTGTAATGTAAGTACAATGAAAAATGAATTTCTTTCAACATTTCCACTTAAAAATCTCATGCTTACATCGTTTATTATTTTTTTGAATGATTTTTAGAATGCGTCATTTTTAGAGACATGTAAAAGAGTAAACATGTATGAAGGAAACATAGTTAGAAATTTTAAAAGTTTGGATGAATTATTACGAGCAATGGTATTAGCAGCTAAATGTATAGGAAACATTGAATTAGAAAATAAGTTTTCTCAATCAATCGAAAAAATTAAGAAAGGGATAATTTTTGCTGCTTCATTATATCTTTAAAAAAACAAAAAAAATTTATAAATTTTAATTGCTTTATTTATTACATAATGAAAAAATAATTTATAAAGAATCAATATTTGGCATATTGCAAAAAAATAAATATTTTCTCTTGCTAGTTTTAATAATCATGTATAAATGACTTTTATTTCGAATGATCTAATCATTGCATTTCTCTTTCTTCAAATTTAGACTTTATGTTTCGAAAACTATATAGTAATAGGTATGTTTGATATAATGTTTGATCACACTGTGATTGGCTGATTAGATAAATTTGGGATTGCAATTATTTGGTAAATTTTTTAGGTCTTACTATAAGAATTGACCTAGCTGCAGTAACTAATCTATAATAATAATAGAAGTTTGGTTTGATTGTATATTAACATGGGTAGACAACAAAACCCAAAAATTGTCTATCACAATCGTATTACCACCTGTAGACAAAAAGATATTCTGGTAAATATGATTCCACCTGTATGTGTTTGTAATGATAATAGAACAAAAGGAAGTCCGCAGTCGATGCAATAACATTTCGCGAGTAGATGTCCAAATCGTTGAAAACAATTTTATCTTACATAAATATCGAAATAATGATTTTTGAATGAAACAGGTTCTTCGACAACTTCTAAATCTTGGAGCAAGGAATTTGTCTAAATCAAAAGAAAAAAATACAATAATAAAAAGGATCGAACGTGAATTAGAATTAGAATTTTGAATTATTTCAAACTAGATTAATTTCGATTTCAATTTCAATTCTGGGTTCCGCTAGCTAGTGCTTAGTACTAGGGAAGTTGCCATCATGTATATTCCTGAATTCTTTGAATCCGATAAATAAAAATTTCTGGTTCTAGGATTATTATTATTTAAAGACATGAATAAGCTATAAGCAAAAGGTTATTTACAGTGTGTAACGAAAAAAATGGCGTTGACAAAAAATTGCATATCTCAACAATTACATAACATAATTAAATAAATTTAGATTCGTTTGAAAGTTTATCAAATTACCTTGTTAAATAAAAAAAATAGACATGATATGCTATTGCCAATTTTCTGTAAAGCTAATTCATATCTTTTTTTTAAAACTTTGCAAAATTTTTGTCTCTGAAATTTTAACACATAAATTTTTAATAATAAGCCTGACACAAAAATATACATAATAATCATACAAAAAATTATACCGGTGTGTAATGAAAGTTCTGGAGATTATATATATAAACTTTCATACTTCCAGATTTTCTAGAATTTTGTCAATTGGAAATAAAAGGAATTTGATTATTTTGAAAAAAACAATTTAATGTGTAAATTTCTTTAATAATTGCTCTAAAGCCTACATAATAACATGCTTCAAAAATTTCATATGTTATAATCTAAGATCCTCCGATTCTCTGTTATAATTTTCATCATATAATTTTGGCTACTTTTTCATTAAAAACAATATTTTTACCAACCGCCGTTTTTTTCTTAACACCCTGTATGTGGCATGGTAATCCTCATGGTCAGGATTTTTTCAAGGAACTAGAAAATTGCTATTGACAAAATAGTTTATTTTCAATACTTAATCACAATTTCCTCACTAAGCCTCAATGAAGCTATAAGTTATGATATACCAATGTTTTTGTTTAATTAATATATTATTCATTGGACTATCATGATCATAAAAAATAGTATATTTTTCTTATTTTTATATAGAAACATATGAGAATATATGGGGAATGGTCAATAGAAAAGGGGTAAACATCAAAATCACGATTTGAGTTGATGCCACATATATATGTAACTCGTCACAAGGAACAATTTTAGCTTAGAAACTAGAGTTGCCTTCCAAAACTCATGAGTTTAGAACTATTCGAAATCTAAACCCTTCTAAACTGGTTTAGAAAATGGGCCTGAATTCCTAAACTGTTTGAAACTCCTAAACTGTTTTCAAAACTCCTAAACTGTTTCAAAACTCCTAAACTGTTTTCGAAACTCCTAAACTATTTTCGAAACTCCAAAAAATTCCAAACCAAACAAATAAATTTTTATTTTTTTATTTTTTCTTAATAAAAAAAAACAACCAAAATACTACTATTATCATTATTAATAAAATTTTTTTAAAAAATAATAATTTTTACATATTTGATGGAGGTGAAATTTCAGGAATTGCATCAAAATCAAATACTTCTTCAGAACTTTCTTCCATATTCTCGTCTTCTACCTTAATATTATCATTTAAATCATCATAATCCTCATTAAATATTGGATTATTTAAATCAACCATCTCATTAATAATTAAAACATAAACATCTTCATTTGGTATTTCTAATCCTTCTTCACCTTCACTATCACCTTCATCATAGTCTTCATAATTATCATCAAAAAATCCACTTCCTTGGACTAGAGATCTTAGTTCTTCTTCAGATCTTTCTTTAGATTCATAATTCAACTCATTTTTAATATTTGAATATAAATAATATCTAATTTTTGCCATATCTTCAATTGTAGACAAACTAAGACATTGCCGTCTTTTTCCATACAAGAATCCTAATGCAGAAAATGCTCTCTCACAAGCAGCATTATGAGGAGTGATTGAGAAAATTTTAATTGCTAAACTCTTTACATATTCATTTGAATCATCAATAACTTGCCACCAAGTTCTTGGTCTTGTGTAAGAAGAAGAATATTGGATAGAAAAAACACCTTCTGAACATTTAAAGTTTGCCATTTGACCTATTAATTCTGCTACTTTATTATTAGAGTGATTTTTTTTATTCATATTCCAAAAGATTTCTCCTGCATATTTAGTTAAATTTGACCAAATAGTTGATTTTAAACCAACTCCTAAACAAAAATAAGATGTCAATAATTTATATATATATTAAATTCTTTTATAATAAAAAAAAATGTTAAATGCTTACCACAGTATAATGGGTGAAGAAAATACGCAAGCAAATATGGATGTATTTCAAAAGATTCCCATCTATTATTGATGGCTTTAATACAATGGTTCCTAAATTCAATTAATCCATGTTCAGGTGAAATTTTGTTGATATTTACTGCAAGTTTTACAAGTTGGATGAAACAATCTGCAAGGTTAACATTTGTTCCTTCCAAATTGAGAATTGCTTTTTGTAATGGCAACAATACAGAAGTTACCAGCCCAACATCATGAAAAAAACCTCTTAGACCAAGAATATGTTTCACCTTATCATTTGTAAGTAAATCTTTATGTCTTTCATAAATCTTTATTTAAATTGAAAATTTTGTTATCATATATTATAATCTTACAAATGACAAAATAAAAAATAAATAAGAAAGTAATTAATATTTAAACCTTTTCCAATGGTTGTTTGAGTTGGAGGACAGAGTTAGTGGTCTCAAACATTGAAGTCCATCTAGTTGGTGTGTACAAACGAAGTCCACCACCTTTAATACCATATTCATCAATGTATTTTCTTAATAATGCTCCAACTCTGTGGGAAGTTTTAAAAAAATGGCTAATTTTGTTACATTGTTTAACAACTTTATATGGAAAGGAGAACAGGAGAGAACGTCCTATATAAGGAATGGATTTTCACAATTGATTTCAATTTTTTTTATACAGTATAAAATACTTTTACAAGGGTATCATGTAGCCCATTCTTACAATAAATCATGTGCAAATAATTACACAAACTTGAAGC